AACGTGACTTATATAAAGGAACGATGACTGATGATTCCAAGAGGTTACGAATAAACCAACGAGTATGTAAATAAACGAACAGAATCGAACGCGTACGTTTCAATTTATTATAATTTACTTTTCATCGGTCGTTAAGCGTTGAGAGTCACATGATGCTCAGCAAAATCACAGAAACGTCATCGGTTACCGGTGCTGAAAATTATATGTTGCCAGAGTAACGTCATCGTTCAATAATTGTAAGTGCTGAAAATCACATGATGCAACGTCATCGGTTACCAGCGTTGAAAATTACATGACGCCAATGCCATCTCGTTCACTATTTGCAAGTGCTGAAAATCGCATAACGCAACATCATTGGTTTTCCAAACGTTGCATTACACCAGCCATCAGATAGAAAATCATTCGTTACTCTAACGTTGGAATATTAACTTATTTGAAAAACAAAAGACAAGGATTCAGCAGTATATACTGTACAAACATATTGAAAATAGATACAATTTGCAAAAAAAAAGAAAAAAAAAAGAAATTATAGAAACAACGCGAAATAGAAGTGAACAACAAACGCTAGAAGGAAACCGCGGTAATTCCATTAGAAACGAAGGAAATTCTTGCTGGCCAAGAGGAATCGTGCTCGCTGAAATTTTATTTATTCAGTCTAAACAGAGGCGTCGTTTATAAATACCGCCTCAACAATTCAGTTATTCGGGCGAAATTTCTCTTTAGAACTGAAAACCACGATCTCACTTAAATTCGAGGAAACTCCTTTATAAGGAGTTAATTACTTCTTTCATTTGAGGGAATAATTACTCCTTCCATGTTTTTTTTTTCAGGAGGGAGAGCAACGCATTTAAAAATCCTTCGCAACGAGAATTCTTACGTACGTAAATGCAAGTTCGTTGCAACAATAAAGTCGAAATATTGTACGTCTCAATATAACTTCTTTTCGTTTAAGCTCCCAACGCCGAATTGCCAGGTCTCATTGTGGAACAAGTTACGAGCTTGCTATCGTCTTGTGCGTAATAAGTAAGAGGAATACGCGATAACAAAAGCGGGTTGATTCTCGAGCGGCGATTATACGCGCGGACGAGGATTTTACCCTTATTCTCGGATTCCAGCCGATAAGAACTGACCGTGGATGCATTAATTAACCCGCAAATATACGCGGATCGAGTGCAATCTCGGTTTAATATTTCCCATGTCATAATGCGCCATTGTTGACTCACGTGTCCCATATATATATATATATATATATATATAT